TGTGTGTGTGTGTGTGTGTGTGTGTGTGTGTGTGTGTGTGTGTGTTTGTGGTGAGAATCCACAGTTAAAGCTGAGATTTCAGGCTTCGGTGGTCGAGTGCTGCGCGACTCAGGTTACACAAACACACACAGCACTCGTTTAATAATGTGCATGTTACTAAGGTCTCCATTGTCACCAGGAAGAGCTTCGTTTTTTTTTCTTCCATCGTGTTTGACCTGATTTGTGCGTCTTCTGTCGTTCTCTGTCGTGTTCTTCTGCAGAACCCGACTCCTGTCTGCGTGCCAGGTCATCTCCCACGGCTCCGCTCTTTCTCCTTTGCATCCTCCTCCTTCCTCTCCCCCCCTCCCCACAGGGCCACTGCGGGTCAGACCTCCTCTCGTAGTCTCATCAAGCGGATTTCTTAGAAGCCCCGGGGGAAGCGGAAGAGCTGGCGTCCAATCATATCTTAGTTAAAGACATGGGACCGTGACATTGGCTGATCTGTGGCTGATAGCCAAGGCCGCAGAGTTCACTACTTTTTTCTCCTTCTACGTCCGTGCACGATCCACGCATACGTGCACGTCGGTGTTCACAACGCTTTGAAAAAAACTTGCATAAAAACTAGTGGATTCCAAGAAGCTGCACTCTTTTTCTTTCAAGGAAACGTCTCAGACTGCTTCCAAGATAATATTGTCTTGTGGTGCATAAAATGTGGAGCCAAGTAATCATGTCATGTTGGAGGGAATCATGTTATAATCACGCTGAACAATGTCATGCCCTTCTCTGGGGACAGTCCAACATTCTTTTGTGTTGGAAATGCAAAGCAGAGGCACCGCTATACGAGGTACAACATCCAGCCTGTCGTCCTTATATGTTTTTAGGCTTTACCGTGTGACTCTCTGGTCACAACGAGTAAAAGAGAAGTGAAACCAAAATATCCCAATTTCGGGAATCGATGAGGTCTGTAGGGAAGTAAACACTTTTCTGAAATTTATCAAAATCGTTTGCGAGCTGATTGGAAATCTGGAAACACACCAAACTCTTAAAATTACAGACAGCCTTTTGCTTCGGTTTGTAAGCTAATCTGGAATTAAACACGCGTCATCTCTTCAGGCCGCGAGGCATGTTTTTCTGTCTGCTGTGCGTCGGTGACTCAAGGTGTGACAACTGTCGTGTCTAAATGACTGAATCATCAAAGAATGCAAACGTCGGCCGGGTGCAGGATTACTGCAGGTGGTAAATATGCACATCTGCACACTCTACATGACCCCATGAGTGTGATTTTAAAAGAAGGCCAAGCCAGATAATATGACACTATGAAGTTGTCAACCATCTGAGATTACTATTTACATCAGTTATTCAGTTGTGTTTAGGTTACTGTGGGTAATACTGCTGCCCGACTCATGATGCAAAATATCCACATGATTATATATGATATGTCTCCTACCTATATTGGCATTAATTCATGTGTAAGCAGCATTTCAATTAAAATTTTACTTTATACTACAGTGTTGGATGGTTAAATCTACAACAAAGCCCATTTTTTAATCTGCAAAGTGACTAAGTTGTCGAATAATGACAGAAAAGATCTCAAAACTAGCTGACAAGATGTATTCAGTCACTCTAGACGAAGGATTTTTCTACATATCTGCCACTCAGCTGTGTTTTAAAGTCGAGCCTAAATGATATATTGACCACGTAGTTTGTCCATCAGAGCAGCTCCATTGTTTACACTATGTCTGCAGCGCATGTAGCAGAGCAAGTACCACAGCCGAGCAGAGTCAAACAGCATCTCGCTAGCTAGCTTTCAACCTGCTGAGCATCAACCTGTATTTACACACTGCTATCTCTGTGCGTGAAGCATTTCTGTTGTGACCCTTACCTTAAACCCAACCATCACAACTCAACCCCTGACCCTAAAACCGAGTCATAACTCCCGAGTGTCCTCACCTCTGGAGCTGAAATTGATCCTAACAAAGAGGGACAAACGCAGCCAGGAGCCACAAATAGAAGCGAATCCCCTCCAAAACACACACCAAAATTACTGCTTTGATTTACGGTGGATTGTGAAACACAAGTGGCTGCTCTGCACACGTTGCTGCTCCTCATCCAGCAGTCATGAGGGCCGACCGCTGACCTGAACACAGGGACGCTCAGCGGAGCAACGCAACCAGCAGCAGCAGTCACGTTTCTAACACACACATTCACTTTTTGGGGGAGAAAAGCCGCCAAGTGACTCATTTTAACATTTTAAACTACTCTAATAGCTGCCTGCAGCACATGCAGCAGAGAACAGATCCCACCTGAGCAGACAGAGGTGCGGAGTCAAGTGGAACTATTCAATAAACAAAGATCCCATCAGCATAGGAAAATGCTGCACAGTTACTTATTTTAAAGCCTGACTCCATGTATAGTAAATTGTTGTGTCGCCATTGTTTGTACTCATGTCATCTCTGTCTGCAGCACATGTAGCAGAGCACATATGGAGTCATGTGGTGTCTTGCTAACCAGTTTGCAAAATAAACAGCTGTAAAGTTTCTTACTTAAAGTTCTCGCTCTATAGTTAGTAAATTAACACAAAATATTACACATAGTTTGTCTAGAAGAGCAGCTGTGTCGCCATAATGTCATCCCTGTCTGCAGCACATGCAGCAGAGCACATACGGAGTCATGCAGTGTCTTGCTAACTAGTTGCCAAATTAAAATGCACAGTTAGTCTGGCAGATTAACATCAAATATTACACATAGGTTGTCCAGAAGAGCAGCTCTGTCTCCATTGTTTACGCTACTGTCATCTCTGTTTGCAGCACATGCAGCAGAGACACATCACAGCTGAGCCAAGTGGTGTCTCGCTAACTAGTTTGTGAAATGACCTGCAAGCACATGCATTATTTAAAAGTCTGGCTCCCCATCTGACAAATTAACAAGAATTATTACAGTCTGTAAAGTACAGCTGCTCCAACCCTGTTGTTCAAACGACTCTCATCTGTCTGCAGCACATGCAGTGGAGCACATATGGAGTCATTCGGTGTCTCGCTAACTAGTTTGCAAAATAAACAGCAGGAAAGTCTCTTACTTAAAGGTTTGGCAAAATACTACACATAGTTTGTCCAGAAGAGCCGCTCTATCTCCACTGTTTATTGTCATCTCTGTCTGCAGCACATGCAGCACATGCAGCAGAGCACATATGGAGTCATGCAGTCTCTTGTTGACTAGTTTGTGAAACTAAACTGCAGTAATCATTTCAGTAAACCTCTGGCATCACCCAGTTGCTCCATGTTGGGCAAATAAACACCAATTATTTACAAGTGGGTTTACTATTACGTCATCACCATGGTGACCACCGCTGATAAATTTGCGCCAAATGGTTGTTGTGAAGAAGAAAAAACAAACAAACAAAAAAACAGGCACACACACAAACGCACATCCAGTGAGCTGCTACAGCACGTGTTGTGTACACAGTCTGTGACAAGCAGACTGAAAGCACTGGCTGCTGACCTGACAGGACGCTGCTTTTAAGTTTTAAAAGGAGTTTTGGGGGCAATAAATAAATCTGCGCCAACACGGAGAGAGGCAGGACCCTTTAAACTCCAACAACAGCGCACTTTGTCGACGGTTATTAATAAGGAAAAAAAAAATAAAGCCCTTTTTTTTAGGGCTTTTGTCCACATCGCTGCTGCGTTTTTTTGTTTTCTCCACTTCAGACACCAGCGTGGTTTAAACAGAGAGTTTAGAAGATGTTAGAGGAAAAAAAAGGCAGTTTAAAGGCACGAAGGGAGCAGAAAGTTGACAGGGTCTCAACAAACATACTCACGTTCTCCGTTATCTCGGACGGGCACCCACCGCAGCACGACGACTAACCAACAAGTTGGACTTCGCATAACGGAAATGTGCTGAGAAGTAAATTAAGTCTAAACGACGTCGGCGAGCGGCAGCAGGAGCTGGACAGGAGAGGAGAAGCTGCACGCCGAAAAGCCCGTCGTTTTCTCTCTCATTGTGGCTGCATGGGACTGCTCCTCCGCAGAAAAAAAAAGAGGAAAGAAAACTTTCAGCCACGAAACTTGACGCGGAAAAAAAAAAAAAAAAAAAAGTGGCGAGTCCTCGTTTCCGCTGTCAAAAAAAACTGCGTCAAGATGGAGGAATTTAAATATACCGCTTCCGTCAGGGGCTCTTCAAAATAAGAGGAGCCAGAAACCGGCTTCTGCCGAAAGCTTTACATCAAATAGTTATAACATCCAATATTACTTCATATCTGTGGTGTATGAACGTTTCTTGTGACTGAATAATTGAGAGCAAAAAAATATGAATATTCGGGAATGAAATTTCAAATTATACTGCCCTATAAAAAAAAAAAAAAGTTTATTAAACACTCAAATTTTAACTGTAATTTAACAATACTATATTTTCCATTGGGATAATTTACAGAAAAAAATACTAGTAAAGTCACAGAAAAATCTAGCTATAAAAAAAAAACAGGCAACCCAAGCTGTAACTTATATCTGTACATATATCTGAATAATTGCGACCAAAGAAATTTTAATAATCAGGCGTCTTAAATCTTAAATATTACTACACTGTTAAAAAATAAAAAAATAAAAAAATCCAACATGGTAAATAGCCAAAACGTGATTGCCGTATGTATGTAATTTCCTTGTGCAATATCATAATTTAACAACAAATATGAAAATATAACAACCAGTAAAACTCATTTTTATAATAAAAATACAGCTACAACAATAAACCGTGACTAGAAATAAAGACTACACTGTTGAATGAAATGCAGTCCAAGTGATCGAGATCGCTGCTCTTCTGAAATTGTGCAACAGAGTTGATTTGAATCTATGAATTAACTATGATTACCATGTTCTGAGTATTTTCAAGTTCTGATTGTTAAATCCAGATGAAAGCAGCTGTAGATGGATACAAAGCAGGTGATACAGCTTTACCAAGAAGGCTGCAATCAGTTTTTGGCAATCAACCACTTTTTGGCACCCACTGGGGAGGCTGAAGGTGAAATAAAAAGAACTCTGGGTCCTAAATCACATTAATTGTTGAGGTTTTTTGGACTGTAGAGGAAAAAAGCAACCCCACAATTTCAACCTAATCCGATATATTCAAAATTTTTACTTGAACTTCCTCTCTGGTCTTCGATTTAACCTCTAAACCTCCTCTCTGTATCGATAAATGTTTATGAAAACGTGCGTTCTCCTGTAAACACATGCTTTTATGCTGAAATTCCCAGTCAGGATGCAGTTCCCGTGTTGTCTGAGGTTTTGTGCTGCAGCCAGCAGCAGCCCTGTGGACAAGTACAGTATGTGCAAGATGCAGGAACTGTCCAGACTCCAGCGACAGCTCTTTTCAAATGCTCTCATTTGTTTCACTAACTGCTGCTTACGGATCCTTATCAATCCTTAAATAGACATTTATAAAACTATATTTGTACAATAAATAGCACAAGCATGTAAACCCCTAAACTAGCAGAGAAAAACTCCCATTGGTGTAAAAACGCTTGCTGAAAATGCAGCTTCACGGCTCTGGCAAAGACTTAAATGTCACATTTATCTTCTGTATTTCTAATGTTACCACCAAAGAAAACAAAGGGAATTAAAACACAACGTTTTTTTTCTTGTTTACATCAGAAAATTCCTCCATTTCATTCTCTGGGGAGCTAAAATCCTGTTTCGTTTGCTGCCACAGTTATTTTTATTACCTGTCCGGCCAGGTGTGAGGCGCTGATAGGCCTCAAGTCAAACCTCCGCAGCGTAAAATTGTTGCACAGTGACACCTGGTGAGAGACGGGCTGCAGAGCACCAGGAAGGAGAGCATGAATCCAGAGCTACGAGAAGAGAAACCGTGACGCCCCAAACAGACCAGCCGACTGAGTGCAGCTCAGAAACGACCAGAAATACAGAAAACTGCACCAAAGAAAACCACACCATACCATAAGAACATTGTTTATTGAGTGGTTTACAGCAAAAACGTCATTTCAGAGTACCATAGTAGGACAATGTATTAAATATTACTGGTTATTCAATGTCGTATTTACAGTATATCGTTGAAAAATGTTACTAGAATTAATAATAGAAATTGGTTACTGTGCATTTAGCTTGCATTCTTCACTTGGCACTCTTGGAATAAAAGATTATTCTCATTGACATGGTTAATTTGACACATTTGTTCAGTCTGTGATTACACATGTGGAGCTGTAAATGCACCGATGATCATTTTAGATCAGTTTCAATCCTGGCATTTAAAAAAAAAAAAAAAAACAACACAATCCACACCGTAGTTCCCACGGTGTTGTTTCGGGACAAGCCGAGTGTGTAACAGTAATGATAGCAGACTGAAGCAACCGAGCCATTGTCAAAAAAGTGATTGCACCGAGACGAGCCTTTGGCAAGAAAGAAAAGAAAAAAAAGAGCAGTACAGTTAAAAAAAAGGATGAGTCAGTCCCTCCCATCGATGTAGTCACGTGGCGATGGTTATAACAGAGTCATAAAGATAACATAAGGCACGTATAAAAGAAAAACAGCTCTATGATTGGATATAGGAATCGCTGTAAAGACTGTTAGTGTTCATTTCCAACATGGAACAGTAAATATTTATACAAAAACCAAGAGGTTAGGTGGTCACGTACAGTAACGGCCGACACTCATCTGTTAACATTCAGGCTTGGTGCAAACAATTAGGATGATTCTGATTGTACAAAGTGAAATGATCGAGGATGAACTCTTCTACTAAAAGCAGACAGAAGAACTAAGTGACAAGCCCTCTCATGACACAGCATCATCTGGCCGCTGGCTAACAAGGGCTAAAAATAAAGGGTGCGTTGCTCCGAGCCAGACATCCGGCTCCCGCCGCGGTCCCCGGCGACCGTCGAGAGGATGCTCTGACATCAGCAACCGCGAGGGTGAGCGGCGGCGGCCCGGTGGGAGAACGGAGGAGAACCCGGACTAGCTTGTTCTCATACTCCCACAGTATCCTCGCTGAGCTACAGGTCATTAGAGTGATCTCAGGTGGTTGAAAGTTGCAGGAAACATCAGGAATGTGTAACTTGAAAGCTGTCATTAGATGGTAAAAAAGCTGTTTTCTTTAGCTCAGAAAAGCACCAAACAGCTTCAGCGCTACACTCAGACGGCATTTAGTGTCAGCCTCACCGTTGTATGTCGCGGTTTACGTGTCATAACAACACGATCTACATGGATTTGTCCTGCTCTACGTGGTTATTTACGAGGCCTTGACGACACAGAAACCATCTCAGGCATTTTCTTTCCATTAGAAATGCACTTAATCACGGTGATTCAGATTGTTTACTGTATCGCCCAGTTGCTTGGCAAAGTAGTTTTTTTTATGTACAACAAAAGGAAACGTTACTTTTTTCAAGGTTCTTAGAGCTTAAATGGCCCCAAAACAATTGCACAAGACATCTAGGAGCTACACGGGAGGAAGAAACTGGAACACGGACGATATAATAGCATATTTTCTTCTGAATTGTACCGACTACGAGACCAATCAAGGCCAAGGTCTTTGCAGCGTGATGATTTTAAATAGATGATTACCACTTTGAACGTCGGATTCTTAACGTTTTTATCGTCGCTGGCAAATGTCTTGATGTGGAACGGAGCTAATGTTGTGTTTCTTGGATTGTACGAAGGATAGTGTTAATGTTTAAGACGGATTGCTTCCCCTGTGCCAGACAAGATTTGGAATCGATCTCAAAATTTATAGCTGTAGTTTTTTTTCCTAACGGAGATAAGACTGTAATTCACAATTAAGCTTCTGTTTTCTCTGTTGGGTTCAGAAGCAGAGCAGAATGATCAGGAAGGAATGGAGAACCTGTGGAATAAAGACATGGTCCACCTCCGTCAGTTCACTGGCTCTGCAGCCACTGCACCCTCAGCTCCTCCACCTCTCTGCCGTACCAGTCATGCAGTTTGGAGAAGCAGCCGGTTCCGGGGGAGACGGGGCTTTCCAGAGACGCTCCTCTCCTCCTGGGAGGCACCGGTGGAGCCCGAACTCCATCGCCCCCATAACCACCTACATTCCCAGAGTCTGCGCAGCCCTCCCAGGCCACGCAGGAGGAGGCTCCCTCCACGAAGCCGTTAGCCAAGGCAGCCGCTGGTTTGCTCCACGCAACGCCGTTCTCCCTGGAACAGCCAGAGATGAGCTGCACCTCATCCTGGAGGCTCCTCTGGCCTGACATGGGAGGGGCATTAGATGATGATGAGGATATGGAGGATGAAGAGGATGAAGAAGATGACGCTCCAGACCTGGACCGTGCCACCTGGTTTCGCCTGGAGGTCTTAGGCCTGCCCTGCGGGCCTCCAACTCCGACAAAGCTACCACCTGCAGCCTCCTGGATCTCCTCCAGCTGCCTCTCCAGCTCCTTCACCACCAGCCTCATGTAGTCAAAGCTGGCCCTCGACAGCGCCTTCACCCACGACTCCATGGCCGCTTGGCTCTCAGCTGCCATCTTGTACACCCGTGCTTTGGCACAATCGAACTTGATGGCAAAGGCGAACTCCTCCGCCGACTCGCAGAGCTCCACGGTGCATCCTTCAAGAACGATCACGCCGATGGGCTCTTTGCTGTCGCGCTCCTCAAAGTAGAAAAGCATGTTACCCTTCAGGACGAACCAGCGCCGGTGGTAAGCCGTGTTGCGCTCCCCCTTCTTGAACAGGAAGCCCGTCTTGTCTGGCGGCGAGTCACAGGTGGCGTAGTGCGCCACGCTGCGTTCGTTCAGCTTCATCTTCTCCCTCCTCCGTTTCCACAGCAGATTCTTTGTTTACCTAAAGAACATTGCAAAGACAGACAGAGGTCACCTCCGAAGTTGGATTAGTCCGAGGATGCCACAGGAGTCTGCAGCTTTTCCTTCCTGCAAGTCGCTGCACAGGCAGATTTGATTAGCGGTTGCTGCCTCAGCCTTACAGTCGTGCTAATCTGTGTTTGCTAAAAGAAAAACCTCTCGGTGCCACATTATTCTACACTTAAAAAGCTTTATGTTCAGTAAGCAAACAAGCTGAGTTAGCCTCTGCTAGAAGGAGGTCAGAATACAGGGTCAGGCATTAAAAAATAACAGACTGATTCAGTGTTGTGCTCCAGGGGGGGTTTTTTAAAGGGCGGGTGTTTGCCAAGTGGACTTCGGTCAACGGGTTCTGGTCTGAGCCATCCTGTCAAACACTGTTTTCCTGCTTTCATTTCAACTCCCACAGTACAGGTGCATTCACACAACACAAAATCAAACTCAGCGTTGAGAAAGCACGACTATAGATTCACTTACAGCACAGACTTGACCGAATCCAGGCCAACTTGTGAGGCTAACTTACTCAACAAGGAGGACTTGTCGGGTTATGGGCTGTGCGATCACATGCTCGGCTGTAAAGTAGGACTCAGACCTTCCCTGTGTGTAAACAAGTCCAATTGTACAGCTCAGAGAAAAGTGGTTCACCTCTCACTTTATTTGGCAGAACTTCTTACAATCTGAAAGCTGCTGATAAACTACACATCTTAAAAGTACTTACGTGTTTATCTCATATCCAGCAGACCTCCACATCTGTCCTCCCATCACATCTGGACCAAGGTCTTCTTCTTCTGCCTCCTCCTCAGATGAAGACTAGAAAAGACAGACGTTGTAATCACACGCTTTAAGCAGCACAGGGGAAGCTAACGTGTTTTCTGATTAGCTCGTTTTTTCCACCTCTGCCAGCTAATCGTGTCTGGACGGGTGATTCAGTTTCCAGCGAACCGGTTGGTCACAAGCTTTTGACACATCAGCAACTTTGTGAGGGGAATTCATGTCGGGCCTCGTTTCAGACACACAACCGCAAAAATCTGAGCCTCACACAGAAAAAAAAACAACCACGTCCCTGTGTGCCGACTAGCTTACAGCCACTTTGGTGGATTCAGATACGCGAGTACATTTTGGGCTCAGCTAGCAGTCAGAGCTACAAAAAATAAAAATAAAAAACACAACTCACGACGTTATTTCACCTCCTAGACGAGTATGTAGTTAGTTTATTACCTGTAAACAAAGCTGTCCCCTTCTTCTCACAGGCTCTTCGCTGTTTATTTCATTTTTCTCTCTTCCTCCCTTCTTTCTTTTTTCTTTCTTTCCTCCGCATCACGTGACCGTCTGGGAGTGCGCGTGGAACACAACGCGCCGCCAGCCTGAGCGGGCGGGGTTACGGTTACAACTCCGGTGCCGCCCCTGTGAAACGTCCGCAACCGGATAAGCGGGGGATAGAAAACACGCGGACCCCGGCTTTGCCCTTGTAAAGGTGGCGGCTGTCTGCAGCAACACCTGCATGGATGGACTCCATCAGTCTGAAGCGGGTTTTTGGCTTCTCCAGGTTTAATGTAGTCCGGATTTGATAGATCTCATTAATGTGGTTTTTAAAACTCCAGTAGAGGTCTTCAAAAGGACTGCAGTTGTCCTTTTATGTATTTTAATAAATATAATAAAAGTTTAAATCATCTGAAGCTGCATTGTAAAGTCTGTGGATGGCCTCTGTCAGTTTAGTCCAGATCTGACATTAACTAACATTATAATTTAGATAGCATAACAACTTTGAAATATTTGGTCATTTTCTTGATTTTATGTGACTTACATCAAACTATTTTTGGGGGAATCATGTGACTGTTTACCTTTTTGAAATCTGAATTTGTGTTTTGGAGCTTTCTATGTTCATACAATAGTCAAAATATAGTATAAATATAACTTAAATCACGCTTTTTGTTTCAGCAAACTCTGTAGAAAATCTGTGAACTCTTCCTTTTTTGACATGTATTCATTATTTTTTCTTAAACCAGTCTTGCTTTCTTTGTAGACTTAAAGTATAAATTAAGTTTAACATTTATAAAAACATAACACTGCACATTGAAGCAATCTAAACCTTGGTGGAGGAAGCAGTAGCAAAGCTGAACTGATTAATAATCAAATGATTTGATAATTAACTGGCAGCTTGTCTGATATATTCATGATGATATATTTTCTTTGTCTTTATGGGACTTATTTTAAAATATTATTTTGGAAATGATGGGATTTTTTTTTAAGAGATCTGAAACTGTGATTTCATGTGCTAGTCTAAATGTAGTGGCTTTGGATCCGGGCCTTGTGTGATGTGGTCCACATGGAAAGAAAAAGACTTTAATCACCATTTTTTTTGAGTGTGTTTTAGCAAAAAGAATGAACGTTTCACTAATCTGAAACTGTGTTTTTAAAGTATGTACACTCTCCTTGTTATTCTGGTTGAGTTTTGTTAAGTGTCCAGCGGTTAGAATAACTAACATATTTTATTTCAGTCTGTAGCTTCCAGTCCAGTTTTGACAAGTGCGGTTAGACTTGGTACCATATTTTATTAATCACAATATGATTAATATAAGATGATGTGAAGCTTATTCGGTCTCCACTGATTGTCTGCTTTTGGTATTTATGACTGTATATGTATTCACCATTCATCCTTTAAGCGTCTTGCTTCCTTTATCCATACATTTGACTTGATTTACTAATGAAAACACATACAAACAAAAGACTCCCCAATATGACACATTCACATACATTAGATCCACCGTGCAGGAAAATACACCATGATGGATGAAGCACTGGGATGTTTGAAATAATTATTCAATAAGTCAATTAACTGCCAAGCATTTTGATATCTTTCCATCCATTATCTATACACCGCCTTATCTTCACTAAGGTCGTGGGGGGCTGGAGCCTATCCCAGCTGACACATTCACACCTACGGACAATTTACAATCACCAATTAACCTCAGCATGTTTCTGCACTGTGTGTGGGGAAGCCGGAGAACCCGGAGAGAACCCACACTGCACGGGGAGAACATGGAGACTCCACTCCCGGGTGTCCTCACTGGGACGTGAGCCAGCGACCTTCGTGCTGCGAGGCAACGGCGCTAACCACCGAGTCCCTGCATTTTGATATATTTGGTCACTTTTTATGGTTCCAGTTGTGCTTCTCTTTATCTTAGGTGACTGTAAACATGTTATTTTGGTATTGATGGGGGATTTTTGTCACCATTTTCTGAACAAAGGAATTTAACAGTTAATCAAAAATAAATCCAATTAAACAAACCCCCCAAAATAAATTAAAAATCTGTCCTGTAACAATATATATTTAAAGGCTGTAGCTGCTTTTGAGAAATGTATCCCCAATAACGCATCATGTTTTATAAGATATTGTGTTTAGTTTGCAACAGAAGTCAGAAGTGAAAGCAGAGACACTCAGTTAAAGGTCCTGGTCGTTAGGAGACAACTTTTTTTTATGTGGCTCCATTGGGTCATTCTAAATTCACACATTTAAATAATTATATTGGTGTCATATGAGTAACACACTGATTGTATTACTGATATAACCCTCTTAGGCTTGTGTTATATCTAAATTGTCCAACAAAAGCACCCTAGAATTGAAGCGTTTTGTCTTTTATCTCCAGCACTGACTTGCCTCCCGTTCACTCACATATGCTGCAAACAGCTGCACAGCACAACCTCTGTCCTCTTCGGAGTTTGTGTGCTTTACTGGAGGGCACCAAGGCAGTGAGTTAAGCATGTACTTTTCTTATGCACATTTTCTTAGCATATTTTTCCGGTTCATGGGTTTGAACTTATGATGCTTCAGTCTCAAGACGACCTCTCTGTCCCGTAGGCCACCGCTGCCCCGTTCCCGTATCCCCGTCCTTCATTTTTATGGAGCCGAGCTGCTGGCTGCAGCCCGTGTTATGGCGTGTATGACCATGACAAACCGCCATGAATTCATTAGAATATCTTCTGGAGACAGTTGATGGCCTTTAGCACCGCCGGCCCGCTATCTCGTCCCGCTAATCTTCAATTAACTGATGCAGCTGCTGATGCCATTGAATACATTTTTTTTTCTTTTTTGAAACAGCTTTTTGGTAACTTTGATTAAGTGCAGTGCTCTTGCAGTCAGTTTAATTTCCTCTATTTGACACCCAGTTCATTGAGTCCTGACATTAGGAGAGATTAATCCGCAACCAGTGCAGTTTATAATAGAGAGTACGGACATAAAATCAACACTGGAATTATTGTTCAGTTTAAAGTGTACACACACACACATAGACACACACACACACCGGCATTAAGTGCAAAGTGTTTACTTCTCACAAGTTATTTCCCAACAGTTTGTGGACACACAACAAAATATCACTGACAGCTTTTTGAGATATTCCAATCATCTTTACTGATTTTTTTTTTTCTTTTAGTATTGATTGAAAAATCTGTCATGAAATCCGTCTGGGTGGAGTTTGTGTCGCCTCCAATCTGAAACATTTCTCAACCCTTTAATGGCTAGAATGACCTATGCATCACCTGTTTATAGTTAATATTCTTCTTCCTTTTTTATTCTTTATATTTTGTCCTTCTCTGGTTTCGATCAGTGCTTAATAAATAAACTCTTCTATTATTTCATGGCTCACTGGCCAAAGTAACATGAGAACTGATCAGGTTTACAGTGACTGCAGGATTAACCTGATGGACATCATATGAGGAAATGAGAGAGAATTACTCCTTAACTCTAATATCATGGAGAGCAGAGCACCCTGCATGTTGGACCCACCAACAGACAGCCTCTCCACAGAAATGCATAGAAAAACACAGTGATGGCAGGACAAAGTGAAGAGTCAGTCATGCATTCATTTAGCCCCATGCCTCCTGTCTGATAAAGCACAACTAGGTATTTGGTTTACGCCACTTTTCTTCACCGCCGTACATTTTCTTTCTTAAAATGCCACCCGCCCCGTTCTGTGTATTTTTTTTGTACTGAAGTTTTTTTTTTCCATCCATACAAACACCATCCTGTATATATAAATAACTCATCCTGCTCTGCCCTGCTGAAAAACACGCACCTCGAGGGAATGTCAGCTTTCGTCAAAATACCTCTCAGTCATCCAACACAATATCAAAAATATCATCTCTTTAAATGTTAAAGTCTCTGTAGAAAAATGCCTGAAATATATTGATATCAAACATGTATATTCGTATACAAAGAAAAATTTGATGCAAATTATTACTTCTTCAATAATCCTTTAAAGCTGTAACTATATGCCACACTGGACTGAATCTCTGCATGTTGTTGTGGAGAAAAAAATAAAAGAACATAGCTTGCATGGCACCAGTCGAGCGAACAGATTTAGATGGACAATGAACATAATGTCTGGACACAAATCAGTGGCCACATCGTCATTCCTTTGAAAACATTAGTTTCTCCCAAAAAAATACACTGTGATTGTGCATATGGCACATATTGTTTTCTCCTTATCTACAGTCCAGCAGAGCAGCGTTTTTGCTCACAGGCGGACCTGTTGGGCTCTCCAGACACAATTACAATTCTTAAAAAGGCAAATTCCATCGGTTGAGTGGAGCTATTGATTTCCATTTGAGTATGCACAGAGCAAAAGTCTGTGTAGACATCTATCAAATACTGGCTGACATCAATTCGCTCTCGTCTTGAATCTCTTCATCTGAACTCGCCCCCCTTTAGAGATTCAGCAGTATTGTAATCTTTAATTTAACCATTTATATGAACAAAAATATCACCTCCACTAACTATAAATTCATCTGTATGTGCTCACACACAGCGACTGCTCGTCCTGTTTGCACTGTGTGACAGTAGCGTTGCCCCGGCACTGCTGCGCCTGGACGTTGTTTAGTGCTCAAAAGTCAAAGTGTGAATTTGTCTCCTGCCGTTTGAGAGCCATTAACACTTTATGTAGCAGAAGGTTGATGCTTGGCCTCCGCTTTGGCTCCTCCCTCCCTGATCAACCAGGGTCGAACAGCGTGCGTCTCTTCCACTTGTATCTCAAGTACCTCAATGGGCCCTGCAGAGGAGAAAAAAGAGGAAACGCATCAGTGTGAATATCTGACTGCGCAGAGGAGAGCCACTTGTTCGAGCACCAACAATTACTTTTCATAGAGCAGAGTGAAAATACACCAAGGTATCACTGCCCAGACACAAGCACCCAGCAACACATACACAAGTCATCGAAGCTAATAAGACTGAACCGTCTTGCACATTTTCCGCCACCCAAAGACGACTGCCGAGCCTCGTGTCACTCTTCAAACAGCTGTCATTTCTTTGTTGTTTCTCTGGCACGTCTGGAGCGGTTCGGTGAGCAGGGGACCCCATCTGGGCCACCGTGGCTCTTACAAACCTGATCCAGCTCTTGAGATATTGCTTACCTTCCCAGAGTAAGGTGCAGCTGATGCCTCTAACTTTTAACAATCTCCAAAGGAGCATGAAATCCTCAGATTAAGTTTGCTTCAGCACCAAAGCTTTCTTCGTTGCACTGAGCCATCTCATGCCCTCTGACTCTTTCCTTCCACACATGGCTGCGTGCACCCATGAGTGTCTTTTTGTACTCTCATAAAAAATTTAAAACGCATGCACATGTATCTCTTTAACATTAAAATATATGCATGTGAGTGTGCGCACACATTTGGACGACACACACGCACACATGCCCACTCACTTTCCCACATCATGACTTTGTCTGAGTCACTGATAAAGAAGCACCAAGACGAGCCAGTATTCATGGTTAATGTGCACCAGATTTACTTCTGAATGCTCTGATGTTTGGCAATGTAGGTCACGTCTATTTTGTATTCTAATGAACTTTGCATACAGTATCTCCAACGCCTCCGGCACGTAACACCAAAAATTATTTGCTTTTCGTTTTGTTTAATGCCCCCGTCGCAACGTTGTCATTTCCGATGATCGTAATAAAATGTAATCGATTGAGGAAAACAAAAGTCAAAGTAAATGGTGCGTGCAGAACGGGGATGAGCAAACAGACAACTGTGTCTCTTGGCAGACTATCACCGGCAACAATCAGGCGGCAGAGAAACAACAGCTAATTAATATTCACTGGCGAAATGTGTGTCTCACTCTGACACATTTATTGAGTTTTATTGCACGTCGTGCACTTGCCAGGTTGGAAAGCGGCACGAAGACAATACAGTCAGTGGAAGCACTATAAGCACACATATGACGATTGTGTTATAATAAACAGATCATAGTAACAGGTTTACGCCTAGAAATATAACGATATTAATCAATCATTTGGATCTGAGAGATGCTGAATGAATTATAGAGGTAGCAGGTTTACGCATTTACCTCATGAAGTGACATGAGCAGGACGTGGGGTTGAACTATAAACACATGGAGGGGCTTCTGCACATAATAATTTATTAGCGGATTCATAACCACCACGATTAAAGAGTTTCATCCCTAGAAGGTCATTTGTATTGCAGAGGTAAGAAGTGAGAAATACAGAGGCTGCTGCAGCTCTGAATAGAAAAAAAAGAAAACACAGTGAAGTTTTGTGATTAAACATACAAATGGAAACGCTGCCAAAGGTGCTTGCTGTACAAAGTGTGATATGTTTTAATAATAGCTAACTCACCCACATGCATATAGAGATGCATGTGCACAAAGAGATTGTTATGCATACAGATGCTGCTGAGTGGGAGGGAAGCATCATCCAAGGGGAAAGGAAGAAAGGAATGAAGAAATAGTGAGAGAGGGAGAGAGACAGGGAGGGAGGGAGGGAGGGAGAAGGAGAAAGAGACAGAGAGAGAGAGAGCGAGAGAGGTGGGCTCTGAACTACAACTGTGAGCTGTAGGGAGTAGGTCAGTGCAGTTGAGTCAGTCCTGACTCATGATGGAGGCGGTGAAGATCCACCTCCTCCCTGCCCATTACAACTTCATCCTCAAGCCTGAAGCATCGAGCACAGATAGCCTTTATAATAAAAAAAAAAAAACTCCTACACCTATGGTCAGAGTAGAAGTGGTTTCAGTGTTACAGGAACAATCTGATAATAACTTGTGAATGTTTTAAAGGTGGAGTCTGCATCTCTGCAAAAAAAAGATTCACTGCCTTTTTCTCCACATCTCCAATTCAAGCCACTTTGTTTCAGAGGCAGGCCTCAGCGTGGATACAGAACAGACAACTACTGGACTGTGATTGAAAGTTTGCAGAATTTGACAAAATGTGTGTTGGATTAGAATCATAAACTTCACCGTTAACGATGACTGACAACCACAAACATTCTTTAACAGTACAAGTTGGTGAACCAAATGTCCAAACAGTTTCTCCCACTTCACACTGGTGTCTTTCTCTCACATTGATCCTCCATCAATACGAGTAAAGATATGAACACAGTGTGCGTTGTGAATCAGTACTAAGCCCTCCACACGTTTTAGGGGCCATGCATTAAAATATAGACCACTGAAAGCTGGCAGCTGAAGGTTTGTAATCTTCCCAATTTAAATTTACTGATT